ACCCCCAGCGGCCATCAAAAAAAGAGGCCACTCTTTTCTGGGCAGGCAGCGTTAAAAAAAAAGAAGAAGGCAATAAACGAAAAAAGGAAGAAGAAAAAAAAAAGACGCTTCCCACGGTGTCTCGCCCAAGCCGCGATGACTTCTGGCGAAGGCCCCGTCTTCGTCACCTCCGACACCTGAGCGAAGTCGCGCGTCTCGGATGGAAGTTGGAACCCCAAGAGGCGCGCATCCCCAAAACCCGAACATGTGGCTGTGAAAACGACAGTGCTTTCCAAGCGCGAGCAAACGAAACAAAGAGAAAAAAGAACAAGAAGAAGAAGAAGAAGAAGAAGAAGAGAAACAAGCAAAAAAAAAAAAAAGCTAAGAGATGCGGACTTGTTTCCACTGAATGTGACCAGGAAAGGCAAGGGGGAGAAGAAAGGTCTGAAACTGGAAGGTGGACTCCGTGCAATCAGTGTGGCAACGTGCATCAATCCGACTTTCCTGTCTTCCCACGGCAACTGCAAGCTGACCAAATGTTTGTCTAGCCTGGAATCGCCAAAAAAAAACTGCAACTCATGACCATGTCCCCAGGAAGAGGAAAATGCACCGGCCATGAACAGCCAATGACAAAGCGATAACTGCACCAGTGACCGCACCCGACCACCTCCCATTCTCTCCTCACATCTCATTTAAATGTTGTGCATATAGGATCTTCAGAAAACAGCAAAGCTGCGGAACGCCATATGCGCGCTCCAAGGCCGATTCAAAATAGATGTGCTCAGCTAGCACTGACATCGTGCTCCCATAAAACTCCAGGGTGGTCAAGCGTCCCTTGCTATGCCTTCTCATGAGGGCTATTCAAGAGCCGATGACCGCCCCTCAAAATCAGGTGTGACATCCTTTGTCACAAACTCAAAACGGACTTGTCCCGCTTTCCCGGCTGACCACTTTGTGGGGCGCCAGCTTAGCTGCTCAACTCTTCCCGCCTCACGCAAACAAGGCAGCAGCTGCCAAAGCCAAAAGGCTCAGAAGTGCTCGATTGGCACTGCTGGGAGGCGGCTCATTTCCAACTGTCGTAGTCGCGGCGCCCGTGGTGCCGCCAGCGTCTGTGGTGCCACCAGCACCCGTGGTGCCAGCATCCGTGGTGCCATCGGCCATCGTGGTGCTCTCCGCAGTGGTGCTGGCCGTGCTGCCAGCTTCAGTGGTAAACTCGGTGCTCCCACTGCTACCTCCCTCCGCGGTGGTGGTCATGGTGACAGTGGTAGTGTCACTGTCTGCCGAAAAGCTGTCGTAGCTGAGCATCGGATCATAGACGAGGGTGTCATCAGGACCGAAGTTGGCCTTGGGGAACTCCAGCACCAGCGTGGTCGTGCGGCTGCTACCCTTGTTGGAGCCTGGTGGAGGATCCAAAGTCAGGCTGGGCGCAACTGGCATCGTGTACTCGGTGGATGTCTCTCCATTGACAATGCTGTAAGTGTTCAAAACGGAAAGGAACACACCGCCAAGGTCCTGCACATCACCGGTTTTGCACTCATTGCCGCAGCCACCTTCGGAGCTGTCATCAGCGATGATCTTGTTGGTCATCTCAATGGTTAGTCGCACAGACTCGCCAACACCGTTCCCGCTTTTGCAGTCGTTGTTGCACCAGTTCCATTGGCTCATCTTCACATTGAACTTCACACTGCCTGCAGTCGAGTATGAGTAAAAGTAACTTGGGTCCCCACCTTCGACGTCGGAAGGAATGGTAAACTGCAAAATGGCATCCGTTTTGAAGATGATGGCTTCCACCACGAGCTTGGAATCGGTCTCAGAGTTTCCACCTCCCAAGTAGCTGGTGAAGGAAATCTTTGTCACATCGTAGTCAAAGGGCTGCATGCCATTGGTGGTGTTCTTGACACCCTCGATGATCGTGGACTCTGGCGAACTGAAAGTGAACTCCTGCGTGGCAAAGCTGTTAAAGGAATGCTTCGCGTTGCCGCCGCCGCCCAGCACGTTGCCGGCTGCATCCAGCTCCTCACAGGGTGCAGGGGTGTGGCTAAAACGTGAAACATGTTGACCATGCCTTCCTTTGGACCTCACCCCAAACCATCTGGTTGAAAACCTACACTTATATTGGCATTGCTTTAAGACACGATTGCATGTGTGCACATCTTGCTTTGCACATCTCAACATAGATTTGTTGATTGAAGATGTGATACGAGATCGCAGTTTGTTGGACTTTCAGCAAGGATTTCAATGCTAAGTGGTCTCTTAGCGAGAAGCTTGGCAATCCTTGTCACCTTCATTGTGCAGCAAGCAACGAGGGCTCTACCATCTGCATGCAGACATATGTTTAAAGCATGTGTTGGGGGGGGAGATATGTCAGAATATATGAATATATGCATATTCCATGCCACTGATATCTGTCATTGGAAGAAACAAAAGTGTCATTCAGTGTCTCCAAAAAAGCTGCCTTCATGTCGGCCATGACAATCTGCACCATGTCGTCTGCGGAGTTTATGGGCTCGCTGGTGGCATAGTTGATCTTGCCACTCTGGCCCAAAACCTTCATGAAGATACCACCCCCGGACAGGGACTGGTCCGCGCTGGCCAAGGCCACACACGCCAAAGCCAACCGTGCCATGGCGCTCAAGTTTGGATTGGATACTGGCGGAGTCGGCACAGCACAAAGGCCTTTTGGGGCCGGAGGCAAAAATCAGTGGAGACGGAGCGCTTCTTGGAATTCTTCAAATTGGTTGGACCCAGCAACTCTTGGCTTTACTTTGCTTCTGGAAGCCGGGGGGGGCACCACAGCCCATGATTTGGGCACCGTGGGCATCATCAAGTTTTGGGACGTGCGGTACTGAACTTGTTCGACTTCTCGCCCGGTTGAGTCAACTTCCAAAGGCAAGACCATCGCTCTCTTCGGCCCTTCGTTCAACAGCTCCCCCAAAACGATACTTCTTTTTGCCACGTGCCGTTTCAATGTAGCGCAATGGGTCAAGGAGAAGGCAGGGCTACGCAGTCACCAAGAAATGCGCGAGCCCCAGATAAACTGATCCCAGGCAACCGTAAGGGTCGGCTGGTGGTTTCCCTTGAAGACCATACAATTTTAGGACACCCCCATATGGTGTGCCAAGGCTATTCAACATCCACTGTTCAGAAGAGAACCACCCGCTGCTTCAATTGGGTGCGTTGATGGCTTCCCCAATCCGCTTTCGCCCATTTCGGGAGGACTTCTCAGGGACAGGTTTAAACACTGCCAGGTGCAGGCCTGAACCAGGCCTGGCCCAAGTTGCCACAAAAACCTTGCCCTCTCGGGACTCAAAAACTTGGTTGACGTTGGAAGGGCATCAAAAATTGAGAAACTTTAGCAGTTAAGTGGTTGGATTTCCACAATAAGCAAAAATGTAAAATGTTTCTCAGCGACAACCATGAAAATGCGCCTTCTCCGTCTGCTCCTTGCCCACGACGCGAGGCGGCGCAATCTCCTGCCCGGAAAACTAGAAGGGACGATCTGAGGCTCAGGATGGTTCAGGATTGCTTCAGGTTTCGGAGGGGCTTGGGATGGAAATGTTTGGCTGGGCTGTGGACTTTGCACGAAAAGGTAAAGCTCAAACCAAGAAATATATATATATATATATATACATATGGCCATGGGTCAAAACCCCGTACCCCAAAATAGACCAAAATGGGTGGTGCACCTATGGTTTTGACCCACGGCCATATGATATAAATGTATACCCTCTCCAACAATCATGGAAGTGGGCAGGCGCTTCCAGACAAGGAAGGTAGTCGTTCTGTGAGCTTCCATGATTGTTGGCAAGAGGCAACACGAGCGACAAGTTGAACATCAATACTGAGTCCCACAGTACTGTAAACATGCATCAGAGCAAGCCCCTGAATTGTCCCTACGATATATCAAAGGCTCCCAAGACTGGCCTTTTTTCCTTTCAACACCAGGGCGCTTCCCCTCCTCCAGCAGCTTCTTGCCACGCTCTCCGGCGAAGAGCAAGGTGGCTGCCTCGCGAAGGAAATCAAAGTTCGGGGTCCAACTTTTGGCACACACACGCACATGCGGTTCCGCAAAGTTGACATGGGACAATGTGCTTGTTGTTGTTTTCTGGTTGTTGTGCAAACCGCGCAAAAACATGGCGCCAAAGCAGGCATGCTTGCTATTGGTCCAATTCGAGTGGTCACCAGGTGGAGATTTGGAGCTCTTCACCGATACCCCCTGACCATAAGCTGCTGATATGTCGAACCACAAAAAAAGACAGGAACTGGACAGAATGTGTTGACTCTCCAGTCTCTCCTGCATCACCGAAGTCTTGGACGCAAGAATTCTGACCGACTGCATCTGGCAAGAACATCCCTGGCAAAAAACTGCACGCTGCACAGAGCCATCGAGTATCTTCAAGGGACTCTGACAAACCCAAAAAATTATATCCCGACCTCTGCTGCATGTGACTCATCCTAGCGCCGACAGGTGGCCAATCGAGATTTCTTGAACGCCACAAATGGCCCTGGTCAACCACTCACAATCCAATTTTGAGAAACCCCCATCTGTCTCACAGCACAAGGGCTCATGTGGGGTTTTGTTAGTGGGCACACTGACTTCCCTTGAAGGGTTTCAAAAGAAGCCCCACTAACCCCAAGACACCCCTGTTTCATCCAAAGCTGCAACGCCTCATGCACCAAATCAGCAATACCCGAAGAGCCTCCGCAAAACCCTGACCCAACGCCCCCAACGCCCGCCACTCTTCTGCGGTAAACACCACTTGGCACACGGCTCGGAACTGCTATGCTATGCCCTCCTGGAGAAAGATGTGAATGTAAGGCTTCCCACGAGGATTTGCAACGGCTGGCTTGCTGCCTTTTTGCCTTTGCGATAGCGCACAGTGTCTGTTCGACGCAGAGATTTATTGGGGGGGAGCGGGAAAGAAGGAGAGGGCCCCAAAAACGAACAAGTCAGGAGAAGGCCTGCAGTGGAGAGTTGTTCACTTCCGACCCAAGTCGTCAGAGCTCTCGCGGATGGCCCCCGCCTTCCTCTCCTTGTCCTTGATGCGGTTGAAGTCTAGAATCCTCAGAACGGCAAATGGCAAACGGCGAGCCCGTGTCTCGAGCTGATTCTCGAGAAAGGGCAACCCTAATGCAAGGAAGTGAGAACCAGCAATGGACCCTACTCTGGAACCGGCATGAAGGTGCAAACCTTTCCCCCCTCGAAGCGGGCCCTTGGTGGATTCCATGGGAATCCAACTTGCGAGCAGAAGTCAGACCGCTGCCCAATGGAATCCTGGTGTTCGGATCGGTTCTTTGATGCATCCAACCCCCTTCCCCTTCTTGGCACTGCCACCAGTGCTAGGGATCAGATACACAAGCTTGCGAACGACCCCAGAGCGTTGCTGTAGCCAACGTCGCAAAACAACAAGAGGGGATTGGTTTCGCCCTTGCGAAGCAGTCAAAGACTAACCGCAGAAAGCTCTCCAAGTTTGATATGTTCTTGCCCTTTCGCTGCTTCAACTGGGCCTTCGAATCCACGCCAAGCGCTTTTAGGACCCCCGGCCTCAGGGTCTTGGAGCACTTGTGGATCATATATGGCCGGAAGTGCTTCACCTGGCTGGAGCTCGGCAGAATTGAGACCGTCCCCCGGTGCTTGGGTCAGGTCAGGGTTGCTTGCGCGAGTGCTCAGACAGATTTTGTGGCGGCTCGATTGAAAGAAGCTTCCTCCGTACCCGCCCTCAAACTTGGAAGACCAGAGCCAGGTGCCCTCTTGGAAGCAACACATGGTTCACTCGAGTCGGCGCTTCAAGAACCTCATTCAAGCTGCGCAGTCGGGTTCTGAGAAGGTGCACCAACTGCCTGCAGACCTTCGGACAAATGAGAAAAGTCTCTTCCAGCAGGCCTGCGCCCACGAAATCCGGAAACGGAGTCGCAGGTCTTCAAAGCCACGAGACGAAGCAAAACATCCAAAACCGTGCAAAAGGGCCTCAGAGGGCTTCTCGCCGCACCAGTTTTGGTGCCCAAGCTGTCCGGCTCCTCACCCGATCCTTCACTGGGGCTCAGGAAGGAATTGCAGCTTTGTGTTTGTATTCATAGCTCTTGAGGCAATCCCGATGTCCCAACTCCGGGGTCAAGTAGGTGTCAACTAGGTGTCCATCCGGTGTATCCCACATCCCAGCTCCGCCCTGCCCATCCTCCACTCCCCACTCCCCACTCGTCCCATCCAGTCCCGCCGGACTGGCCTTGGTCACGGGGTTGTCCATCAGGCTGAGGCGCTCCAGGTTCGCCAACTTGGTGATCGGCTCCAGATCAACGAGCCTCGGCGCGCAGAGACCCGCCAAGGGGTTTTGCAGGGCAGGCAGCGGAGGTGATCCGAACATTGCGATCTACCCAAAAACCGTGGGAGGAGAGAAGTCGCAGAACTCCGTCTTGCAGATTGTCTCACGAAAACCATCAATGACGGTTCGAGGGGTCGAAAACCCCCCCCTCCCAATTCCATTGAGGGGATACGTCCTCCACAACCGCAAGCAGCCAAGAGGCTTCTCAAGCTTGTTGCCTGGCGATCGCGCGCAGATTGGGAAGGTGGTACTCCCTGCAGATTGGCATGGAACCCCAAAAACATCAGTTGTATAGGAACCTCTCTCTTTGTCGCCAGACCCCTCAAGGGGAATAGTTTTTGAATTTCTGCCCCAGGCATCGTTTCGCTTGCACTTAGTATGTCAAACATCACAAAGGGTGCGGATTTAGTTAAGGACTTTTTTCTGATTTTTGTTTCCCCGTTTTTCGTCCGGGCCAGTAAAATGTTGTATTTTACAGCGAAATTGACGCATTTTGCACTAGCCCGTCAACATCCCCAGCATCGTTTTCAACATCCCCCGCATATCCGACCAACATCCCTAGCATCACCAACAAATCGTGGGTAACAAAATCGAAAAGGTAGCTGGGTCACAACCATGATGATTCAAATAGGAGGGCATTTCAGTCCCTGTATAAACATATCTAACAAGTAGCAGGGGGGTTGGGCTTTTTGGCTTCCCGGCTTCTGGGCTTTTCGGCTTTTTGTTGGTTTATGCGCCTTTTGGTGGCTTTTTGGCTTTGGCCTTCCGCATCCTTTGCATTCCCAGTTCCTCTTCGGCAGGTGGCGTTTTGGCTTTTGCGGTTTTTCGCTTGTTTATGCGACTTTTGGCGGCTTTCTGCTTTCACAGTTCCTCTCTGGGCTTTTTGGCTTTTGCACCCATTGGTTTTTGGATTTGGCTTCCCGCATCATCAGCATCACCAGTTCCCTGTTTGAATCATCACTTCTTCGAACATCATGGGGGCGGAAGCCCCCCCCCCCTCTTGCTTTTCAGACTTTTTGCAACCCCCCCCCCAAGAAGCCAAGAAGCCGAAAAGCCAAGAAGCCGAAAAGAAGCCTCCCAAAAAAAAACGAAAAACACTCCTAAAATTAATACCCCTCCGATCAGCAGTCCAGAAGGAGCCTTCCGGTTCCGCTCCTCACTCCTCCTCTGCAAATGGAATTGAACTCTGCTCTCCAGGCCCACAGATGGAACCGATGGAATCCCCGAAGCAAAACTCCCTTGGCTCGGAATCTCCTTGAGATACCCCCCGTATGGTTTCCTCCCAACCCGGCCTGGCAATCACAGAAGAAAAAAATGAAGAAAAAAAACGGGGCTCCATCGTTCAAAGCGCCGGACTTCCACCCCCAACTTTTTGCAAAAATGAGTTCCTCCACCGAACGCGAGCCGCCTGTGAGCACTAGGCTGACCAGCTGCGGCAGCGGATCGAAGCCTCAAAGAAATCCAAGCGGCGCGTGTATTTTCCCTTTTTGAATCCTTCCCTGCATGAAAGCCCTAGGTCAAGGTGGGTGTGAAACCTACAACCCCCCCAGGTCTCAAGGAGGAACTACAGCCAGCCAAGACAAGCTTTCGTGAAAACCCCCCCGGAAAGCAAGGAAGGATATGTCAGCATCGCGACCAAGTTGCAGTCTGGGGCGATCCGGCTAATCCTGACGAAGCTTTCGCTCAGCTGGCGGAGGGGGAGGTCACCAAAAAGCTAACGGGTCAAAAGTAGATGCGAAAACCGCGCAAAAATAAAATTCCTGGGAACCCTGCTAGTCTTTCAAGAATGAACACGAGCTTTCCAAGCAGCGCCGACACAACATAGTCTAGTCCCCAGTAGGGTTGAGTTTGTATGCTTCGAGCATGATCGCTTGTTGAAGCATTCAGGAAGGCTAATTCGCTTCTGCACGCAGGCTGTGCATTTGTCAGTTGGCCTCATCAAAACGCCGCTGCTGTCTTTCACGCTCAGCCTCTGTTTTTTTTGCACAGTGACAGGAACACTCGCCCATGAGGAACACATTGCTTGACTGCCCTCCACTTTTGGCAAGTGCCATGGATTCCTACCCAGGTTTGTGTCTGCTTGTGACGCCCCTTTGAGTGGCCAATCCCGGAAAAGCCAGGAATCCCAAAACCCCAAAACGCTGCAAGGATCCCGAGAGTGGCAGCCTCTTAATGAAACGGCCCGCTCACCCCCAACCGAGGCTTGCGTCCAAAACCCGCTGGCGGTCAATCCTCAATGTCAACTTCGGAAGATTTCAAGGGACTGTACTCAGAGGCGGTTCTCCTTTCGTTCGGGATTGTATCTTTCTTTTTCGGGTATACCGTACACCTATGATTGGCGTGGTCCTTCCAATTACACGAGGGTAAAGGCTGCCCATGTAAAAGTAGATGGCACAACCCCAAGAGAGCAGGGATGAAAAAAGCATGGCAGAATTGAATTTGCCGTCTGTGTTCACCCAACTGCAATCCGCGGAAAAAGTACTTTGCCCCGCGCCCAGCCTGTTGTTGGCGAGCAGCAGCACCCGCAGCCTGCGCAAATGGCGCCACAGCTGCGCCCAAAGCAAACTAGATCTCAGATGGCCGCACAGCTGCGTCCGGATTTTCGTCAAAGAATTGAGAATCACAACAGTTCGGGTTTTCACCAACTGCTGAGAAAAACTCTCCTTTCCCAGTAAAAGTTGTTCAACACGAGTGGGTTGTCACTCACTTGGGTCTCTTTTGGTACGCTACATGTAAAGAGAATCGGGGCTCAACGGGCATTTTTTTTGCACCAAGCTCGATGTCCAAAAAGAAGAAATCCCATGTTCTTCTCAACACCTGCAACTAGGCGTTCCCTGGTTTTGGAGGCAAATGTACAGCAATCCGTGCAAACATGTTGGCCAATACTTCAGCGTCGTGTGAAGTACTTAGCTCCCACCTCCGGCCCACCCTCACCAACAGGGTCCACCAAATTCCCTGCTTTTTCTGCGGTTGCCCATCCGCCATCCAAATCAGCTGGCCTCTTCAGCGGCGGGAAGTTGCCCAACTTGATGAGGTCATTGTCCGACAGGTCCAAGCACCTCGGACTCCCCGCACTCCCCGGCTCCCCCACTTTGCGGCGAAAACTGCCCATACCGCCGAAATCTGAATAGGCTGAGTTCCTAAGAGCTCAGAGCCCATCAACGGACAGATGAGAAATCCACAACCTGGAGGCCTGAATCTGGCTCTGGAAATTGTGGTGTTCTGTTGACGGACTCCCTTATCTATCTAGGCTGTTGTTGAAGTTGTGCTAATCCGAAGCCCTATTCTTGGTCAAGTAGTGGGCCGTGAAAACAGTTAGCGCACAAGAAAGTCCAATTCACCATCATGTTGACTGCTGCTAGCAATGTGAACATAGCCAGACTTGCTTCTGCGATGTTAAAAAGCGCATTTGGGAATGACTTCTGACGCTTGGGACACCCTCCAAATGCATAAATGCCCAGGTACATGATGTCCACCAAGGGTTCGATCGATTGAGTAGCGAAGAGGCATCTGGGCGAGGCGCTCGTAGGCGTCATCCGTTCCACCAAGATTCTCCTCGGCTCCAGGGGCTGAGACAGGAATAACAACAAATACCTCACTCATGGACCGCCAGAAAGCCGATCCCGTCAACAACAAACGCAAGACGTACCAATCTCGTAGCGAGAAGCCTCTTCGGGCTTGAAGCCGGCTCTCTGCAAATCGTTCAAAGGAAACGGGGCGCAACAACGCTCACTTCGCAGTACCAAAAGTTCCCGCCCCGAAGAAGGAGGTGGCTTCAAATCGGAAAGCGCTCACCTCAGAAGCCAACACCAAGAGGTGGTCTCAGCTCCGAAACGTGCGGTGCTGCCAGGGCTCCACCGCAGGGATCCTGGGACGGAAAGGAGCGCCACACCAGCCACAGAGAGATTTGTGACACCGTGGCTGCAAAATCCATTTCAAGCACCGTTCAGAATCCCGGGTTTCTGATTCGATTCCCCCATTTTGCAAATACCAAGAAACGGTACGGTTTCAACCATGGTTTCGAAGTGGTGCAGGATATGGATTTCGTCCATCCACAGTAGTGCCTGCCTTGAGGGAATCCCTTGGTTTCACACCGGAGCATCTTTCACTTAGGATGGCCCATGTGGGCCTGTTGCCTCTGGCCTCTCTCTGGATGTCCGGCCTATGTTGAGGGGGATCGAGAACAGATGTTACGCAAGGGCAAGGATCCAGGCTTCCTCAAAAGTTTGCCCCCCACTGCCCCCCCCCCCCCCCCAAAAGCCAAACACAACAGCCTGCAGAACCCAAGCCACAACAGCTTCCCTGCCCTCAAGACCAGGCACGCCCCCAAAAAAATACGAACCGCGCCAGCTCCCCTCCAACCCCTCCTTCCCCTCCCTCCCCTCCCTCCCCTCCCTCCTCCCCCCTCCAACCCCCGCTCCCCTCCCCTCCAACCCCTCAAACCCCCCAACCCCTCCAAACAACTCGTCCAGCCGAGGCAGGGCGCTTGTACCCCCGGAGCAGCAGCTGCCGGTGCTTCGCCGGGTTCAAGCTCTGCGGCGCCTGCTGAAGCAACTCCAACGTCAGCCGCATCCTCGAAGCCGGCGACGGCTTTCGGCTCGCGGCTTTCGGCTTGTTCGGTGCCGGGGGCCCTTGGCCCGGCCAAACGAAAGGAAAGGAAGGACGTCCAAGGGAAGCTGGGGAAAAACGGGAAGGAGTTCTTTCCGGTTCTTCCTTCTCCTTGCAAACACAGCTTATTCAAAAACAAAAAGAACTATTGGGAAGATTCACATGGACCCACAAAAAAATGAGATTGAGAATTGGGACCTTTTTCTTGAGAGTTCCCTTTTTTCACTCCAATCCCAAGCGCATCTCTGGAAACCAATGGCCCGTGTCCAAAACTCTGTCTTAAAGGGAGGTCACATTCCTGCATTTTGACACAGACCCGCATGAATCCAATCCCAAACGCCAACCCTGTCTCAGCCCCGGGACCAAGGTAAGAACTACTCACTTGCCCAAAGGACCCAGAAATAAAAGGTTAACCTTTGTTGGCCATGACTAAACTGGAAAACCCAAAACCGGAAAACCAAAAGGTTCAAAGGTCGATTAACTGAGACTACCATGACCAGAACGATTGAAAGAAGATTGACGGTTGGAACACCCTCCACCCATTGGACTCCAAAGTGGCTTGCCCGCTTCGCTAATTCAGACTTGCCGCACCGCTCAAAAAACGCCTCACCAAACTGTAACACATAAAAAAAAATACCCCATGGAAAGTGGTTGCAAAATACACTCCAATGCGAAAAAATCTTCGTTGGGACCGGGCTAGTGACTTGGCCAGCCACATGTGAGGAAAATGGTTCTTTCTCCATGTTGAGTAAGCTTTGAAAGGAAAGCAAACTGGTGTCCATTTGCAGCAGTCGGTTTCTTTGCTTTGACTTCATTTTGGGACTTGCGGAAATCAATGAAGGCCACAGTTCGACGCCGAGCCAGATTGGGTTTGGAAAAGTGAAGCCCCTTTGCTTTCAAACCAAGATAGTATGCAGCGCACATCAGACGTGATCTCATTTGCATCCCAGAGTCGTGCCACACAGCCTGTTACCGAAACAGCCCGCTGACACTTGAGCCGCAAAGTGGGCCAGAGGACATGCTGCGCACTCAAGCAAGTGCAAGCAGAAGACTCGCTGAACAAAGAACAATGCACGCACAAAACATGAAGAGGTCCTGCCAACCATCCAGCCCTTTGCATACATGAACATCCATGGAACAAGGACTGCGAGCTACGTGATGTTCCAACGATCGGTAAATCAAGCAACCCCTGACAGCTAGAATTGGCCGTTAAATTTCAACAGGCAAGCAAGCAAGCAAGCAAGCAAGCAAGCAATCAAGCAATCAACGTTCTCCTTTACATACGTGACTATATTTTAATGCTTTCTTACTCATCTCTACTTGACAATCAGGACAAGTCACTCTTTCAATATTTACTTGTCTAGTTTTATATTATTTCTTGGTTTTAAGCGGTTCTGTTTGGTCCTTTTTCGGCTCTTCTTTAAGTTCTTCCCGTATTTCTTCCCTTGGTTCTTCATTAGGTTCTTCTGGTTTCCCTTCCGCTGTTTCAACTTGTTTATCGCTTTCAAAAACATCAACAAGTGTTATATATGTCATACACATATATATTTCTAGCTGGAATTAGGTTTATAGAAATACATATTAAATATGTTTCTAACCTTCAAAAATGTTAATGACCAGATGCAACAGTAAATCTAAAATGCATGCTAACATCATTAGAATCATTTAAAATCAGTTCATTATCATAAAGTAAACTACCGAATGAGGTTAAGACCGGAATTAATAGTTTGAACATTATGTACATGGAAAAGTTAAAGATAATATTCCAAAAGCGGATGAAGACGAGATAGAAAAACCTGTTCAAGAAAAAGTAAAAGAACGATTGAAAAAGCTGTTAGAAACAACTGCTTATAAAGTTATTGAAACCGCAAAAAGATTGATATATTAACATGAAACAACAAAAGTTGGAAAAGAACCTAGAAACTATGAATAAATTAGTGTCAAAAAATATTTGATAAATACATTTATAATCTGGTTAGTATTACATGAACAAGTCAGATATTGAAAACATAACATCAACACTTACAAAAAATTGCAAAGCAGGTAAATTACCAACAGCAAACAAATTTTATATACCCATAACAAAGCCGAACAAAAAGAATCTAGTGTCCATTACTACTACGAAGGAGACAACAAAGCACATCAACCAAATTATACATATCTTGAAGAAATGAAGGGACAATTAGAATTTCATAACGCAAAGAAAGACTTTGCCATATTTCAAAAAAAAGAAGAATCAACATGAAGCACAAGTGTATTTTAATGAAATCTAAAAGCTATTCGGCAATGATTAAGAAGAACAAAGATATAAGCAATCAATTAAGAAAGAGTTTATGTTTCAATAAAACTAAGTACATTAACAAACTTATAATCCAATTACTTTCATATAATAATGAGATTAGACAATACACAGATGAAAACAATAACATCACAATGAGGTTAAGTCCATCATATTCGGAATTCATGAACGGAGTTACAAAGGAAGAATATAAAGTATACATTCAGAGGAAGAATATCAAAATACGAAAATAAGAGATGTAATAGACAGAAATGATTCTCGTGAAAGTCCTTTAGGAACAGTTTTGAATAATAATACAGTAGATTTGAGACAACAACACTTGTCAAAAATATCACAACCTAAAACCGTTGAGCATCTTAAAATGGCAAAGGGCGATGAAATGGATGATTTAAGAGACAGAGCACTAACTGCTACAATGGACGCTGTTGAGGGGCAAGACCGTGGCGCTGATCAGCCTGTCTTCGAAAGGATCTACGTCTTCAGCCCGAGCGTCAATGTCGACGACGGCTGGATCCCCGTCAAGAAGTACATCGAGCAGGACCTGGGGGCGAACACGGAGCGCGAGCAGGCCTACTGGGACGCGTGGGGCGAGGCGGCGCAGCGCAAGATCGCCGACGCCAGCAAGAAGCGGCTCTACTAGGCGCTGGTGGTCATAGACGACTTTGCGGACACGCCTCAGCTGCACAAATCAGCACCTGGGTGAGCTCCCAGAAGCTGCAGCTCACGAGCTGCCGACAAATTGCACCAGCTGTACAAGCAGGCGACCAGGGACCCCTTCAGCTTCCTCTTCGTGCACTACCTGCTTCGAAGAGCGCTTCGCGCTTGAAGAAGACAGACGCGCTGTTCGCCAGCTCCACGCTGATCAACGCGAGGTGTGAGAACATCTCGCGCTGCACGTCCGTCTGCCCCGGAGCAGTCCGCACGGCAACTGGTCGAGCGGGCAGGAGGTGGCTTCCTAAGCAAAGATGATTGATTTTCCTCGAGCATACACGCCTAGCGATGCAAAATGTCAAGCCAAGCTGTTCATGCACGTGAAACTCCAAGCTCATGTAATGCACAAACTGTATGCGGGTACTTGGGATATGAGCAAACCTAATCACCCCGCCTTTGTACACGGAGTACTGCGCGTTTGTACAAGACTAAGATTTTGTCGTTGCCTCGATGTTCCGGGCCAGCTGGTCTAGCTTGTTTGTTCAATTCTGTTCTCTGTTCGCTTGTTGTGTTCTCTCTGTTCCTTTCACTCTCTGTTCTAACAGGAAACAGAGCATTAGGTACCCCCACCCGAACCCGAACCCGAACCCGAACCCCCCCCCCCACCCGAACCCGAACCCGAACCCCCCCCCCCCAACCCGAACCCGAACCCGAACCCGAACCCGAACCCGAACCCGAACCCGAACCCGAACCCGAACCGTCCCTGGCGCACACGCAGCAGTCCACGGCGCCGACGGGCGTGGCGGAGCACAACGTCACCGTTGCGCGCGCCTTCACAAAACTGGTGGGAGCGTTCGTGACCTTCTAAGACAACGCGCGGGCTGGAAGATCTTGCTGGCCAACCCGGGAAGACGCGGCGCCCATCGGCCAGCCAGGCAGGAAGACAGCTTCTAGAGTTGCTGCAGCTGGGCAGCCTGCAGTGCCCCACAACCCCTGAAACGAGCCTTGGAGCACTTCTGAGACGGTCCTTTTCACCTCCAGCCCGGTGAGCGCCTCTCCTTAGAATAAGAATTCTACCCAGGTCCGAGACGGATCTTCCAAGACGGTTTTTTCACCTCCAGCCCGGCGAGCGCCTCTCCTTAGAATAAGAATTCTATCCTGGTCTGAGACGGGTCTTTCATCCTGGTCCGAGACGGCTCTTTTCACCTCCAGCCCGGCGAGCGCCTCTCCTTAGAATAAGAATTCTATCCCGGCCCAAGACGGTTCTTTTCACCCCCAGCCCGCGGTGAGCGCCTCTCCTTAGAATAAGAATTCTATTTGTGGTCCGAGACGGATCTTTTCACCTGCAGCGCGGTGAGCGCCTTTTGTTAGAATAAGAATTCTATCCAGGTCCAAGACGGATCTTCCAAGACGGTCCTTTTCACCTCCAGCCCGGTGAGCTAGAAGAAGAATTCTATCCTGCTCTGAGACGGTTTTTTCACCTCCAGCCCCGTGACCGCCTCTCCTTAGAATGACAATTCTACCCAGGTCTGAGACGGATCTTCTTGCCTCCAGCCCGGCGAGCGCCTCTCCTTAGAGTGTGAATTCTATCCTGGTCTGAGACGGATCTTTCATCCTGGTCCGAGACGGTTCTTTTCACCTCCAGCCCGGTGAGCGCCTCTCCTTAGAATAAGAATTCTATCCCGGTCCGAGACGGATCTTTTTGCGTCCAGCCCGGTGAGCGCCTCTCCCTAGAATAAGAATTCCATCCCAGTCCGGATCTTATAAAAAATGATCCTTGCTTCGGCGCTGGTCCGGGATGCTCAGCCGCAAGCTCTGTCGTCGCCGCACTCGCACAGCGCCGTGGGAGTGCTGTAAAGCAGCCGGCAGCCGCTCCTGCACAGCCCTCAACTTAGCCTCCAGCGCATGTTGGTCCACAGCCGGGTCTGCTTCCTGCCCGAACGCTTCGTCAGAGCTTGGCTGTGCTCCGTACAGACCGGGCTGGCCCCAGGCGACGGCGCGGCTCAAGCAGTTTT